TCTTAAGTGCGAATAACAGCACAATTGGAAGAGCGTAGTCAATGTCACTGAACTGAAATTTTTGAAATGGTGTATCTTTGGCTATGTGTATTTACACCAAAAAAAAAAAAAGGTTGAGAAGTTAGAGAGTTAATATGTTGTGGAGTTGTTAACCAATCTCATAAAACAACATATGTACTGCTGTTTCATGAGAAACTATTTGTTCTTAAGCCTTCACCTGAAGTACAATTAAAAAAAAAAAAAGACTTTCCTCTTCCTGAAGTAAGCAGTGTCCCTTCCCCAAGCTCCTCACCAGTTCAATGGTTCTTAACCTTTTCTGTGCCGTGGACTTCATCGCCAATCTGGTAAAGCCTGTGGACCCCTTCTCAAAATAATGCTTTCAAATATATGAAATAAAATATATATAACTACAAAGGAAACCAATTTATATTGAAATTCAGCTACCAAAATATTACAATAACAAATGTTGGATATGATAATATGTCTACTTTTTAATAACACATTGATAAGGTCCAGTGGTGGATTTACAACTGTATTTTAAGTTAGTGATAATCATAAGGGATATTTTGAGATACCTATCACAGATATTTTCATATCAATCCATATCATATATCATATAGCATATGTGTATCCATATCATATAACAACAAAAATATATGACATGGATGTGATATGAAAATTCTTGTGATTTCTATCGGTGAGATTGTCACAATATTGTTAATGTTACTGGGGTTTGTTTCCTACATTTATATTTGAAGGAAATGCTAAATGTGATTCAATGTTAGTGAAAATAAAGATGCTATTTTTTCCCCATCCACATTCACAAATGCCCCTGAAGTCTATCCATGGACTCTTTGCGAATCAATAGATGCCAAGTTAAGAACCCCTACTCTAGCTAGTTTCAGTTTGCAAAACTCAACCAAAGCATGATTTCTTCTAAAGAACTTTGCTAGCCTTCCCCCAGGTGGAGTTAGATGTCACTCGTCTGTGTCTCAAGAGCCCCTCACAATCTCTCCAACATAATGCTTAGCATAGCACATGGTCTGCATCAACTTACTTGTCTGTCCCTCCTATAAAAGTATACATTCCTTGAGGGCATGGGTTTTATAAATATACAAGTATATATGCTTAATATATACTCATGTCTTATGAGACTTTATATTACCACCACCTATCACAATGTCTGGCTGGTAGGAAGGGCTCATTCAATATTGAAAGGAAGGAGGAAGGATAAGTCAAAGACAAAGGATCCATAGATCAAAGATATCATCTTTAAAACCAAAAATTAAAGTCAGTAGTTTGAATGTTCACTTG